TAAAATAAAAATAATAAAGCCTAACATTTACCTTTGAAAGATCGGTTATTATAACTTATTAGGTTAGACAAATATTAAAATGAAATTGAAATTGAAAAGATTATAGACAGTAGTAATCGATTACACACGAATGTAAGAATCACAATAGAATAACATTTTTTATAAATTGCACAACAATAAGATCAGCTTACTGTAGTTTATATCATGTAATCTATTGGAAATTGTACACATATGCCCACGTGAGGACTTTTGATGCATACGTATACATATATCGACGATAAACATATAGAATGAAATACACGACAAACCTAAAATTACCACAAAATTTAATGTAAAACGTAACTATTTTATGTTGAAATCTATCACAATCACCTTTTTATTAATGTTTACAAAGGAAATTTTTTTTACACTTTATACATTATAATAATATGTGAACACGGTATAATGAACTTATTCATAAGATGCAAACAATAAAATACAACAAATTCTACTTTTTTAGAAGACAACGAGTAACAAAGAAGGGAGAACGTAATACTATTTATTTATCGATCATTATATAAAGTGGAACGTGATTCTTTTTAATGCTATGCTTCATTGCGTTGCAATAAATGAACGTATTACGCGAGACGTTCCGATGGTGGTTTATAAATAAAAAAAATCTACAAAACTTAAATTAGCTATCGATTAAATTTAGATTGTAACAAGTCGTGTGCATCGGAACGTACATCAAGATTCTTCGAGATAAATCAGTGGCAACGGCACTTGTCGTGATTGGTCGACGATCAAAAACGGGCCAATGAGCGTTCAAATTCATGCCGAAAAGGCACGATTACACCGGACGGGGTACGCAGGCGCGATCTTTGATTACTCTCGCCATGATTCGGCGCGAGCTTTCAGTCACGCGCAACACCTCGTCGGGGGATTATATGAGGGATCGTTTTGTGACCTCCGTGAGGGAATAAACGCTATTTCGAGTTAATTTTGGTACTCCGTGCTGAGCTAACGAGACAACAAGTGCAACGTACGGATTGTGTGCATGAAACGCTTGTGCGTGCGTAAAACACGCAAATATGTCCTTCTATTTTCGCGATCGGCCGAAATTCGGCGACAAACTGCGTGGTAAATCCGGCGACGAGCTTCTGCAAGAGATTAAGCAGCAATTCGACGAAGACAGCAAGTCATTCTTCGAGCCGAGTAATAGATCGGGACGGGACCCCTTCGAACGACATTCCGCCTTCTCAAGGGTGAGTTTGTCCCTTCTTTTTATAGTAGTACATACGAGTGTATTAAAATGAAATTACACAAGTGAGAGGAATAAATGATAATTCTTTAATAAAAATTTAATCTTTGTGCAGATTTTTTTGTTTTTATTTTAGTCGAGGTTATTTTTTTTATTACAACACTCATTAATGCCATTATTTTTTTTTTTATTTATGAAGTTTAACGAGTATAGTAACGGACTTGAAATAACTTTTTAAGAAATGATTTTTTAATTACTGTTTTTTTGTATTTACTCAAAGAGACACTTTGTAACGTTTCAAATTTATTCCTCCTTGCACGATTTGAACATCGTTGTACGAAAATTCTTTATTTATAGAGTGGCCCAATTTCTACGTCGTTTCACCGGCATGTATTTAGTTTTCTCTGCTTGCCGGTTATTCTTGTCGCAAACTCGATATTTTCAGGAACAAAAAATGTGAAAAAAAAAGCATTTTGTTTTTAGCTATCGGAATCCGGCGAAGTACGTCTTGTGAAATATAAAAATGCGTAGGAATGCAAGTGTAGTCGTTTTATGGTACGATATTATTTGCTTTTTTATATTTATCTTTTCATATGTAGATTATCGTTGGTTAATTTTATGTAATTAGCATTTTCTCTACACCTGTTTTAACATTGCGAGAATCCGCTGTTCATTGTGCCGAATCACCTGTTCCGCATTGTCAACGAGCCAATTATCATAGTTTATGGCGGTCTCGTGACCGTTACAGTCGTATTTGCACTATTAAAATTTTCCAATCATTTTATTGCGTTTTTTGCGCGCTCTGCGTAGTAATTTCATCATTTGAAGCAGCAGGGATATATTTGGCAACAATTTTTATCCAAAGTGGATGCTTCCTATCCTCTCGACGTTTCTACGTGGTAACATTGCTCGATTCGAACAGTGACCTTACCTTCATGTAAACAAGTTAGGTTAATGTTTGCTTATTTTCGTGATCCACTGATAATGGAGATATTGTGTATTAATGTTGAATGCTACAGTAAAATATCTACATATACTGGTTTAATATTCATGCAAAATAAAATGTGAAATTGTGCAACTCATATGTGTAAAGATGAAAAATTGGATAATTGGTGTAAAAATATAAAAATAATTGTTTTATCTACTGTCGATATCGATTTTTCGGAGTACAGAGAAATATCTTAATCTTAATTTTTAAGTTAGAACCTCTTCTTAAAAAGTGATGAAGGTTTACTGTGGGGTGCCATGTGCTTCTTGTTTCAAGTGAAATAAAGGAACAAGTAAGCTGTTCGAAATGTGCACATAAATCTGTTGTCAAATAACGAGACTGATCTGCTCGTTCGACCGAAAGTGCTCGTTTCCCCTTGTTCGGCAGCTCGTAAAAATTGCCTATTTCCCGGAGTAGCAGAGTCCAATCATCGTTACTTGTCGTATAGCAAGGGAAGGAAAGGATCGAAAAGTTCTAACGGTCCCTTCATCGTTTCATTTCCTTTTCACCGCCAATACAAGGAGTTCAGGGGACCAAATAGGAAATTGAAAATATCGATCGAATTTACTACGTCCATTACATTGATTACATTTTTCGCCACATTTGGCGCTATTGGCGAGAAAAATTTCAGGTTAGAGTCATTTTTCAACTTTGAAGATATTCAAAAATCTTATACTTCGTGGTTAGTGTGTTAGTGACGACAAATTTGTTGTCAAAATGATCAGGTTATTTTGGAATTAAAGTTGTTTGTGCAAAAAGTAAGTAAAAAGAAAAAAAAGAAGTGATAATTCAGATGGATTTCCCTCCATTTTCGTACGCTCTCATTTCATTTGATTTCGATCGAGAATCTAGTATTTAACAAGAAGCAAAATATCGATAAATCGAATTAACTTTGAAAATCGTTGTGAATTGTGATAATCAGATTAGAGATATAATGAGTATCGTCCTATGAAATGGTCTGATCCGCTGCGGTAAAATGGAGGAATTCTCCTCGAGAAATTCGATAAATGATTCATTCTCCGGTAAAAAAAAATATATATTTCCCGCTTCCGTTTTATCAGTAAACAGTGTAACGATATCTTTGCTCTTGTGGAAAAATTTAATCTTGCTCATACGATAAATTTATCGTTGAACAATAAAGATTCCAACGAAACATTCAAATGACAATTAATTACATCTTGTCGTTTCCTTCGAGTGTTCCGTGAATTAAGATTTAATAAATAATAAATAATATTTCGAAGTAACATTCTTCCCGTATAAACGATAAATAAATCATATACATATATATAAGAGAATATATATATAAAGGAGAATTGTCTAAAGTCGAAAAATACAACGAACACAACTTTTTCAGAATAAAGATCGATACGACGTCGTACGGGTTATTTGACATCCACTGGAGTTTTATTGTCGCGAGTCTTACGATCGTTGTAAAGGGACCACGTTTACAGAGGCGATTGACTTTCAGATTCGAGGCAAGCAACGTTTCGTGATCCATTCGGGGCACGTGCTTTACAACTTAAAATACGCGAGAAGATGCCGTGGTGGTGCTTTCTTGGCACAGCCGGTGCTACCTCGAAAGCGCCGTTAAAGCTATACTTTAAACGCAGCCAACGATCACATCGAAGCACACGGAGAGATGGACGAGACGGACGGTATAGCTCGACGCGATAACTCGTTGCAGGGAACGGAAATCACGTTCTTCGCGCTTTGAGGTGAGGTTTGAAGGAATGATTGAAAATAGACCCCTCTGATCGTAGGCTGGCAGACGGAAATTGGAAGAGTTTTCGTCGATGATGAATTTTAAGTGTGTTTTCATTCTTGGATAGGTGATCCACCAGGTTGGTTTAACAAAACGGATTAGAATGTTGCAAGTTGATGGGTCTACGAAGTGTGCAGTATGGTAACAATGGTACTGGAATATAGAATTTTCTAATTTCCATAAAAGATTCTTCTTCTGAACGTTTTCGGTTGAATTTGAAAAACAAGAATTCTACAAAGGTACCAGGAATTCGACATTTACATAAAGATCCTTATTTTTCTAGAGTTCGACAAACTACCGATCCTAAGGCTCTTTCACTGGAATGTTCAAATGTGTCTCTAATACCACAGTGTGGCCCACGAGGATATTATGAATTCACGTAATAATTCTTCTTCCTTCTTAGTCATCGTACCCTTTCCAAAATATGTAGTTCTGTTTCTCAATAACAATTCAAACTTTCACGTCGAATATTTGAATTTATCGAATAAAACGTTTCATTTAAGGATGCTGTGTTCCTTCTTTCTACGTCTGCAAAAAATCGTGGAATAAGAAAGACGGGACGAAGGGGAAAAGGAAAAATTTCACATCAAGTCAAGCCTCTCCAGTCTGTTCGTCAAAGATACGAGGGTACGAGTCGTAATAGTAGT